ACCATTACCATTTCACCATGGCGCTAAACTCTTTCTCACTCCAAGGACACCGTAGGTTCTCAATAAATCTCACTGTCACACCATAAAGTAACGGGGTTATGTCCATTTTACAGACGAACTGAGGCTCAAGAGGGATAGTCACACAGCCAGTAGGTGGCGAAGCCGGGACTTCAGTCCCCTCTAATAAATTCAAGGCTAGTACTTTTTTTACTGTAAGAAAGACATAGAGCCAGGCTCAGCTTTCTCGCTTCAGCCCTCCATCCGCGGGGAGTCGGAGAAATTCCGGAAAAGCAAATCAAGCCACTGCGTACAAATCCAAGGAGGGCCGGGGAGCAAACACCTGTGCCCCTGGCGCCTGCTGGGCCAAGCGCCCGGGACTCCAGCAGTCGGAAAAGTTGGGGGGGAAGCTCTCGCGAGCCTGCGGGGTCAGGTGGCAGTGTTGGAGAGGACCGATTCCCCGGAGGGAGGAAGGGCGGCGCTACTGCAACGCGGAGTCCCATACTGCACCGTCCTGCGTTCCCAGACGGAGTTTTCAGGCTCCCAATATGTCATAGGTGCAGATCGCAACCTCAAACCTCAGCTCCTTGAAGAGCGGAGCGAAGGCTCAGTTCTGACTCCTGAATGTTTCCGGGGGAGAAAATAGAGCCAAAGAGAGGAAATGACTCTTCCAGGGTCACCCAACCGGTGGTGCCAGGACGAGGACAGGAAACCACGTGTCCCCGCTCTGGGCTGACCTTCTACTCTTTAAGCCCACCTTTAGGGTAGTGGCTAGGAAAGAAATGGCTAGAGGAGTTAGCTGCGGGTCAAATAAGAAGCCGTGTGGGGTCATGGTGAACGAGCCTAGGAGACTCACAAAAGTAACTTACCAGGCAACCTTCCGTACGATACTGTTTGTGTGTAAAGAAGGAACCCATGAAAATCGAGACGTGCGCACGAAACTTTCCCTTCTTCCTAGTCCTGCACGTCGTCTTAGCCCTGTCGGTGACCTGCGCTCCTCACGCTGGGCACAGCTGTCCGCGGAAGCCCGAGGACATCCTGGCCTAGATCCAGGCTGAGGAGTCCGTGGGACCTTCCGGGGGCTAGGGGGATAAAAGAGAGAAAATAAGCACATAACAGCTCCTAAAGTTCCACATCTTTTTCTGGCAAAATCTTACTCCCCTCCATTGAGCCAATTAAACCCAATAAAAGCTTGCATGGAACCCCTCTTCCTAGCAAAGCGTCGCCAACAATTGCCTAAGGGGTAAACCAAATACGCCTGAGATAATTACACTAAGCCCGGGGCAATGGTGTGCTTGCCAGCGTCCTCAGCGCCAGCCAATATTTGAATAGTGCAGAGGTTGGGTGGGTTGGGTTTTTTTTTTTCTATTTAAATTACACGCGGAAACTTGAAACCGACTGGTCGGTGCCAGGGTGGTTACATGATCTGTTTTTCTTGAACTGGGGTCTGCAGGCAGCTGAAGCGCGAGCTTGGTCCCGCCAGTGCTGCTCCGCGCCTGCAAAACTTGCTGGAATTAAATCAACCTCCCCGCAAGGAGGGAGGAAAAGGAAGAGCTCGACCCCCAAACCCTCAACACACACACCCGGGCCGGTGCTCCGCGTTAGGCCGTGCTCCAGGCCGGGAATTCCCCAGAATACTCCGCGGCTGCGACAGCAGGCACCCTCTCCAAAACGCACACGCGTCTGGCGCGCTCGGTCTGCACTTGCCACGGTAACAGACGCCAGGCCCACCGTTGACCCGCGAGGGGTGCAGTGTCGGGGATTACTTTCTACCCTTGCCAAGTCCACCCGGAATGCGGAAGCGTGAGGCTTGAGGCGCTTTGCTCGACCTTCGCAGCTCCAGTTTGGTGCAAATTGCGCGGAGCCGCTCAGTCAGATGCAAGCTCTTGGCTCGCGGCGGTCGAAAGAACAGGCTTCCCGAGGTGGTGGCGGCAGGTCTGCAACTGGAAGGAGCTCGCCCCGCCAGCGCTCGGCTCACAGCTATAGTGTTATTATTGTGCGCATAAGGCCTGCTGGGCGCCCCCTAGAAGAGCCCTCCGCGCGCTCTGTTACAGACGCTTTGGAGGCCTCTTACCGGACGGGAACCGTCTCCCAGCTGCTCACAAAGAGCAGGCTCTCTTTGTGGTGGCTCTCGAAAGGCGTCAACAAAAGATGCCTTTTCCCGCGCTGCGTGTGAAGCCCTGGCCCCGGAGAGCTCAGAGTGTTTTTGGCACTCTGATCCCCCAGCGGGATCTCAGTGGCCAGGGAGACAGGAACTTCCTGGGTGAGAACTAGGCTTCTCTCGCACCACGTCGATCAAGGGGAAAAGAGGATACCGCGCCCCAGCGGGCTCAGTCACTGTAACTGTTGGTGTGTCCGCGGAATTCGTCCACGGCTGCGCGAGGCCAGGTGGCCGTCTGCTGCTCGTGCCTCAGCGGACCAAAAATCCCACAGAAACACCGGCGGCTAGAGGAACGTTTCCGGCATGGAGTGATACCCGAAAGGGTTTACTTTCCGAAGGACTGGCCAGAAGGCTGCTCCCACCCTCCTCCGCACACTCTTGCGCGCTTCAACTTCATGCCAGTTTCAAAACATCTGCTGACCTAGGACAAAGTGGCCAAATAACATTACCCAGAAATCTAGCTCCTAGCTGAAGATCAAAATTATGAGTCGTCTTGGCTCACCATATTTCTGCTACTCGACAGGCACACAGCCCCTCTTGTGTTGCTCCCCTTGGGCAGCTCACCAAAAGTTAGAAGCCAGAAACACTCGACTTGGTGTCACCAGGGGGGAGTAGGGGTTGTCTCCTAGAAGCCTGGACTGATGACAGTGCTTTAGGGTTGCGCAGGGGTAAAAAGAAATTAAGAACTTGGTGAGTGCCTCACTGCTCTTTCCGCTACTCCCCCCCCCAAAATCACAGAACTGGAAGGGACCCGCGAAATTCCCCACTTCAGACATCTCATTTTACAAATAATGAAATTGAGTCCCGTGGACAGAAGAGTATATCTCCTCCCCCCTCCATTCTGCTTTCTTGCCAGCCTAAGCTCAAAGGCATATCGAACCAGAATAAAACTTCGGGTTCTTCCTGCAGTGCTCTGGGATCTGCTGCTGGGAGCAGTAACCTGCTTCTCAGAGCACAGAAAGTGTCTGGACTTCACAGCGCTGCTGCTCATCCAACTCTCCCGTGCAGGGCACACAAGGAGCCTGTGTATTTATCATTTTGACCTTCAGTTAATTTTAATTATGTCCCTTTCCCACGACGGGCTAATAGTAGAAAAGACTTGGTTCCGACACACCCAGGTGACAAGACCTCCAAGCACCCAACTCGTCCACTGGTTCCAACTCACGTCACCACTCCAGAGAAATGCTTGCCCCTGTCCCATCCACCCGCTGCCGAGAAGCGCGGTAGAGCATCCATCCACCAAACCCTTCGTGCAACCATCCCAATTTCGGGCTACTCTCAGTCTCTCCCTCTAGCCCGCGGTCTTGGCGCGCGGAGAGCTGTCTCCAGCCCCGCGTACCTGACGCCTCTAACTGCACCTGACATACAGCGGGCGCGCCATAAAATTATGAAGTTAGCATTTGACGAAGACGTCCCTGGCTCTCCTCCCAATGAGCTTTTCCCTCCGACCCTCTGGGCAGAGAAGAGGCCTTGAGGCCACCGTGCTCCGAGCTTGGCCCCGACCGGCTAGTTTAAAAGAAGAAATAAGCTCAAAACTAGTAGGTGAGAAGAGGAACGGTGACAGAGCAAGGACGGGGAAGATTCGGGAGAGGAGAAAGCAGGGTCCGCTCATCCTCTGCCGTGCGTCGCCACCCGGGTAGGGTGCAGCAGCTAGGATCGCACCCCGCTGACTGCCCCTCCCAGACACCAGCTAGCGCTCTGCGCCCTACTCCGCGGCCCTCCTGCAGAGCCGGTTGGTGGAAGCCGGGGGTGGGGGCGCCCGGAGCCACGCGGAGGAGGGGGCGGGGGCGCGGCTCGGCGCCTTAGTGCCCCTGCTTCTGCAAGACATTCGGCAGCGGAGTCCCTCAGCCTCGGTCATGTGATAGTCTCGAAGCGCGAGCTGCGGGGGTCTAGGCGTCCTGGGGACCATTACAAAACGCAGCCAGGAGAGTGCGTCGCTGCCACAGCCACCACCGCCGCCTTTCCAGCTCAAGACCCGCCCGGGAGAGGCGCGGCAGCTGCGGCGCAGCTCGCGGAGTCAGCCCAGGCCAGCCCCACCCCCGGCCTGCATTCGCCGTCGCCCCCACCCGCCCGCGGCCGGCGAGCGGCGCCCCAGCCCCTTCTCCGAGCGCGCCGGCGCCCCTGCTATTGGACCCGCCAAACTTTCCACCCAAGCCACCACCTAGGGCTCCATCCGCGGCTTTGCTGGGACTCTCAGGCGATCAGGGAAACGCAGGTTGCCAAGAGCCGGGCTTCCTTCTCCTTACCTCTTCTCCCCTCCTGGAAAACCAGAACTCCGGAGCGGACACATCAAAAGCCCGGCTGGAGGCTGCGCGCGGGCCGCTGTGAGTCGCGCCGCCCCCGACCTCCGGGACCCCAAGCGCCAACTCGGATTTAAAGGGCCAGAGTGCTGAGTTCTTCCCAGCGCTCTTGGCCATCACCTCCCTGGGACCAAAAAAAAAAAAAAAAAGCGAAGGAGAGAGCGGAAAGGTGCACGGTCCCTCCCCAGCTCGCCGTCGCCAGCTCCAGCGCTCGGTGCCCCGCCACCCGTGAAAAGACGCTGCAAGGGGCTGGTGAAGCTGGCGCGCCCCGCCCGCCACTGTTCGCGCGGGTAGGCGACCGTCGGGGCCAGAAGTTGCGAGCGCTGAGAGCTGAGTTGCCCGGGAGGCGGTGAGCGGAGCCTGCAAACAGCTAAGAGAAGGCCAGAGAGAGATCGCGACGCGTCTGGGGGAGAGGAGGCGGGGTGGCAGGGCTGGGCGGGCGGAGTGGGGGCTAGCGAACACCCCCCCCGGCCCCTGGAGCGGGGTGCACAGCGACGCTGCGGTCCAGTGTGGGCCCGAGGCAGGTGGAGACAGCGGGGGCGATGCCGCGACCAGGGAAGAGCTCTTATAGCGACCAAAAGCCACCCTACTCGTACATCTCTCTGACCGCCATGGCCATCCAGCATTCCGCGGAGAAGATGCTGCCACTGAGCGACATTTACAAGTTCATCATGGAGCGCTTCCCCTACTACCGCGAGCACACGCAACGTTGGCAGAACAGCCTGCGCCACAACCTCTCCTTCAACGACTGCTTCATCAAGATACCCCGGCGGCCAGACCAGCCCGGCAAGGGCAGCTTCTGGGCTCTGCACCCGGACTGCGGCGACATGTTCGAGAACGGCAGCTTCCTGCGGCGCCGCAAGCGCTTCAAGGTGCTGCGCGCTGACCACACTCACCTGCACGCGGGAAGCACCAAGGGCGCGCCAGGCGCGGGGCCCGGAGGGCATCTGCACCCTCTCCACCCGCACCACCCTCATCACCACCACCACCACCATCACGCCACCTCGCACCACCACCATCACCACCACCCTCCCCAGCCACCCCCGCCCCCACCGCCGCCGCACATGGTGCATTATTTCCACCAGCAGCCGCCCGCCGCTCCGCAGCCCCCGCCGCACCTCCCGTCGCAGCCGCCCCAGCAACCGCCTCAGCAATCGCAGCCCCAGCAGCCGTCCCACCCTGGCAAGATGCAGGAGGCGGCGGCCGTGGCCGCTGCTGCTGCGGCCGCGGCTGCAGCCGCGGTGGGCAGCGTGGGGCGCCTGTCACAGTTCCCGCCCTATGGACTGGGCTCTGCAGCCGCTGCGGCCGCTGCAGCCGCGGCGTCCACGTCGGGCTTCAAGCACCCATTCGCCATCGAGAACATCATCGGCCGGGACTACAAGGGCGTGCTGCAGGCGGGCGGGCTGCCCCTGGCGTCGGTCATGCACCACCTGGGGTATCCAGTACCCGGGCAACTCGGCAACGTCGTCAGCTCTGTGTGGCCTCACGTCGGCGTCATGGATTCGGTGGCCGCGGCCGCAGCGGCCGCCGCGGCCGCGGGGGTCCCCGTGGGTCCGGAGTATGGGGCCTTCGGAGTGCCGGTCAAGGCCCTGTGCCACTCGGCCAGCCAGAGCCTGCCTGCCGTGCCTGTGCCCATCAAGCCGACTCCCGCGCTGCCTCCGGTGGCCACGTTGCCGCCCGCGCTCTCTGTCCCCCCAGCCGCACAGCAACCGCCCGCACCGTCCACCGTGTGCCCGGCGGCCGCGGCCTCTCCAGCCGCTGCCCTGCTGGAGTCCACGGCTCCGAGTGCGGCCGAGGGCAAGGGTGGATCTCTGCACTCGGTGCTTGTGCACTCCTAGGGGACCCAGCGGGCGTGGGGAGACCTACGCGCAGTGCAACGCCGGGAACCGGACCGCCCGAGAGAGAGAGAGAGAGAGAGAGAGAGAGAGAGAGAGAGAGGGCGCCCTTACCAGGCTGGGTTGGAGCGGCGAGCCTTCGCAAGAAAGGAAGGTCCTTAAGCAAACCTGAAAGTGGGATCTGCAGAGGTCTGAATAAATATAACACTTTTGGTGTCTGTGTTTATAGTATGTTGTACAATCAGATTAATGAAAGCCAATTTTCAGGTAAGGTTTTATTGTAATTGATGTTTTAAATGAAAAGTTATGGGGGAGGGAGCAAAGGTTAGGTGTTTAATTCGCTGGCAAATTGGAAATGGATTTCCACCTTTATTCCTGGAGCAGAAACGATGGAGCTAAAGCTCCTGGGGGAGAAATCCAACAGAGAGAGGCTGAAGCAGACATCAGACACCAAGTTTCTCTCCCCAGGGCAGTCGCCTCTCCTGAACATTCAAGCCCAAACTGCGATTCACTAAGAAAATCTCGTTTTATTTAAGAAGGAAAAAAGAGAGGGTTTGATGCCGTTATTTTCCTTATCAGTTAAGTGGTGAGGACACAGAATTATGAATAAAGTCGCTTTGGGGGAGGGGGGACAGTGGGAACCCCACGAAGAATCTTGGGAAACAATTACGTTTCTTGGCTATGACCCCCAGGGTCGAGAAGGATAGAAGGAACAGCTAAATCAATTAGTTTGCACAAAAGAGAATGGCAGCGGCTTAAAAAAAAAAAAAAGCAACGTCCTAGATTCCAAAAGTAAGGTTGGAGAAACAACCAAAGAGACAATAAAGGCGACTTTCCACCTGCAATTCGTTTGCCCATCAATCGGATGAGACCGTTAAGGAGCCCCCAAGTAATGAATAATGTGAATTCCCACGCTGCGATCCATTTGGAATTTTAAAGAAAAAAAAATCACTTGCTTTGCGGAATTCTGTCCCCCAAAATCATAAATGCAAGAAAATTCTGCCATATCATCCCGCCGTGATACGCTTAACTTCCAGGACAGTTTGGTGGCGGTTCCCTCCAGCCTCTTCCAGACTGATGAGAGAGGGTGACCCCCTCTTCTGTGCACATCGCGACCGATTTGGTATCCGTGTGCTGTTTGGGCGCGAACATCTTGCAGGAGAATTCTTCAGTTTCCATTCGTGAATGGAAAAGAACCTTGCCTAGTCGCTGTTGTCCCTTCCCCCTATTTGAACCCCAGGAATAGCACTTTACTTCCAACAAACTTTTAGAAACGAAGGGGGGTCGGGTAGGGAAGAGGCAGCTCTCCACGCCTCCAAGTCACTTCTGGCTTGTGTCCGCACCGCGTTCGGGTTGTAACTTTGTGACAAGTTCATGTCTGCCAGTGTTGTTGGCGGTGTTCTCCATTAAAGCTTCTCTCTGGATATGCCCTTGCCAGTGTGAAGGTGTATCGCTTCTCAAGAGACCAGGCCTGGGTTTGCGTGTCCACCGAATGAATGGTCAGGGAACTTTACGGACCCTCCTTTTTTTCCCCTTCAATTCTTAACTTCAAAGGGGTGAGTTCTTAGGCGAGCCGCCAGCAGAAACAGCATCCCTCCAATGCACGTTTAATCCGTTAGCGCAATTATCTCTGAGCCTACCTGTCCTTTGCATTGCTAATTTTCTGAGTTCTAGTCACCTCAATTCTAGCAACTAAAATAACAAAAAAAGCCTGCAACTGTGATTTTTTTTTTTTTTCTGTTCCTACTTGAGGGTCATAGCAATATTCCATAACCCAACAACCCAACACCTTTTTCTCCTTCCTGGGGACCTCGAGGGCAGCCTACGGTAGTGCCCCTGGGTAGGTGCACGGTGGCGCCCCCTTAAGCCTGTGGGGCGGGAAGATGGGCGCCGGGGCTGCTGTTAATAGAGAGGGGTGAGGAAGGGCACTGAGGCCTCTTAAGCGACCTGTTGTGCACAGATGCGGGGCGCTGTTCTTCGCGAGCGGAGTGTCCGGGGAAGGAGTAGCTTGGGTCCTAAGCCCAGCGCTAGGTGGCCGAGATCTCAGGGCCCCGCAGTCGGAGATTCCCCGGGACAAACTTTGTGATTTAGCAGCTGTGGGGCTGCGGGAGGAGCTGACAAAGAGTCGCGGGTTTGGTGCGGGGCACCCAAGCCGCGGCCTGGGCTCCACCCTCCACCAGGGCTCAACCGGAGGGTCCAGTCGAAGCCTCCTCTTCCCTTTCATCAGAAGAAAATGAAGAGCCAACAAGACGACACCGTAACAGTAACGACACCGAGGGAGTCTTGGGTTCCATCTTTAAAATAGCGTTTCTACGCATCCTTATTTACACCTCCCACGCAGTGGGCCTCTTAGTTTTTGCCTCGCCTGGGAGAAGTCTCTCAGTTCAGGTCTTTGCCTCTTTGGGGGCGCCGACAATTCAGGGGTATATCCATTCTTTCAGCTTGAGGTTCTGTAAAGGTTTCCTCTACTCTAGCCTGAGGCTGTTGAAAGAGAAAAGGGGAGATTCTGATATGGGGATTATGACCCCCCCCATATCACGGGGGGAGGTCAAAGGGGGGGTCAAGGGAGGGGACAAGGCTAGTGAGTCTGGCTTCTATGTCCTCCTCTGGGTGAGGTGGTGCCTGGAAGGCAGGTACACAGACCTCTAGATGAGGTGTGACAAATCACTCAGATTTCAGAACTTTCTTCAAAAGATTACCCCATCTTCCATGCTTCAAAGGGTCAGTATGCTTTTTAGCCATACCCAGGATTCCACTTCTGGGAGATGGCACAAGCCAAAGTGGTGTTTGACATCAGACACCCTAAATGGCCTAAGCGACAGCCCCTCCCTAGAAGAGGATCTGACAAAGAAGGATGAGTAATTGACTCTCATCTTTTTCTCCCCTCCAACCCTCTCCGTACCAAATCACAATCCACCCTTAAGCTCCCACCTGAGTGGAACCCCTTCAGCCTTGGTGGGGGATACATGGTTGCTTAGTTTTGTCTGTACTGTTAGGGAAAGAGAGACAGGAGAAGGTAAGTCAAATTGACTTCCCTTGGGTGGAGATGATTCTACCCAAATTCTTGTCCAAGAGACCCTGGTATCCAAAGGAAGGTATGTGTGATGTTGAGACAGGAGAATACGGAAATTTCTACAAATAAGCAAAGAGGGAGGAGGGCTTTTTGCCAAAGTTCTTATCCCAAAGGAGGTCAGAGCTCTGACAACAGTCCTCAAAAATCTGCTTAACCAAGATGGGATCTATCTACCATAACTGTAACATGAGGGCTTCATGCTAGCAAGCAATTACTGCCAGGTTGCTAAACCAGAAACCTGACAGAATCAGTCTTGGCCCATCTCTGAAACTGAAAAGATCCCATGTTCAGACTCACTGTTTCTTACTAGAATCGGGTCTTAGACTAATGCCCAACTCTACTCAAAGACAGGCTTCAGATCCTGTGCTCACTTTAAACAGGGGTCAGGCCATTTAAATGGTATTACTCTGGTTATAATCAGGGTGTATAGAGAACATTAAAACTAACAAGAACAATACATTAATGGAAGATTTTGGTAACACCTTCCACCACCATGACCACCTCATCTCCCCCCCACCCACACCCCCCGTCCCCTCCTGCCGAGTATGTTATCTCACAGGCTTTCTCCAGCTATATTTTGGGGTAGAGGGAAAATAAGTTTTGGACAAAAAGTAGATGCAAGTAGAAGCACTTCTAAGTTTATCAACATCTCAGTTCATAAATTTAGTAAAATTACTCTTGATAAGCTAAATACTGGTGGCAAGAACATGCAATTATGCTCTTATTTTCCAGGATGATGGCAAAGGTTTTAGTTGCTTCATCTGTAGCCACTGAACTGAATGCACAGAACCTTGAGAAAGGTGAGGAGCAATGAGGAGGGAGAAAGGTTTAAGTGTAGATATCCCTAAAATAAAGATAGAAGGAGAACAACTTAGAATTATCCATTTGATTATGTTTCTTTGAGAAGTTGAGGCAAGGAGGGAGGACAGCACTATTTTAACAGTGGGCTTTAGGAGAACAGACCCTCCCACAAAGGCCACAATTGGCACAGTTGGCACCTGGCACTTAGGAAAGCCTGTCAGTCATGCTAGTTTGTGGTCAATTAGCTCCTTAAATAGACTGGCACTAGTCCAGCCAGAGAGGCGGGCTGATGCATCCATAGGAATCAGAGCCAGTTAGTTAGCTGGAAGTGGCACTGCTGAACTCCAAGCCTCTTTGCATTTGTAGAGTTTGGAAGGCTGATCAACACATGTCCTCCTGGGATTCAAAGATGACATTTGCCTGCTTGGCATTAATACAAAAAGACTGTTGAAGAGTACAGAAATGGAATACCTTAGAAGAAACTTTGATGATTAAAGCCACTGTTTCCCCTTAAATTCCATTCATGTAATAAAATGATCATTTCTGATATGCACAAATCATACAGAGATTCTTGAAAATTGTGGTGGGATTTCACTCCCCCATTGGATAGGAATTCTGATTTTCCACTATACTTGATTATGACATGAGCAGAAAGATTAGTTCAGACTTGAATGATGTGGTAAAGAGTTGAACTGCTTTTTGGTGATGATTCTGCACAGCGGTATTGGGACAGGGTAGAGTTAAAATTGAAAATGAAAAATTAAAGAAATGGTCTCAAAAACCAATGATAACCTCTTGTGGGTAAAAAGGATGAGTGGGGGGCCTCCCCTGGTGGCGCAGAGGCTGAGCACTGGGTTGCGAGGCGCCCGCAGCCTCTGCAGTGCCAGTTCGATCCCCGGCCACAGGCAAGGGTCCCACCAAAAAAAAAAAAAAGGATGAGTGGGGGCCCAAAGGGAGGTAGAAAGTTCTTGAATTTAAAGGGCAAAAAAATTTCTTCAAGGCTAACTTTCCCATTTTGCTCATTGAAAGTATTTTTGCTAGCTTTATCTCTTAAAGCTGAAAAACTACCTTATACCCTTTGGGGAAGATTGAAGAGATCTGCTTGGGATTTGAATTCAGTCTTAAACCGTTGTTTAAATGGTATAAGTTTGGCCAAACTCCAGATGTACTCTGTCCCAAGCACTTTTCCCCCTTAACTATCCCCTGTGTGTTTTAAGGAAAATTCAAGCCACATGTTGCGCTTTCCCCCTTCCATCCAAATGTAGTTTTATTGAATTTTAGCATGGCCCATGAAATTCAAATTCTGAGTTTTAAGCCATAATATATTCATATGATCTACAAATACAGTCACATGATATACACATATATCATTAAGCAGAGAATAAAGAATCTGAGAACTAGAGTTGTATTAGTAACCTTTATTTAAATTGGAGGCCATGCTGAGAATGCCATTTTTAGAAAGGATTTTATAAAATCAAAAATTTTTTAAAAGCCTATCTTAGTGACTCATGAAAACACTTTTAAAAAGAATATTGCTAAGAAAATATTTTGGTGCTATTTGTTTTGATGCAAATAGTTCTTTTCCTTCCACAAGGAAGAGTCTTTTGTGTGCAGAAACACCCAAGCTTTGCTTGTAAGTCACAGACCTCATTATTGCAGCATTGTTTTAAAAATGCTTTCGAATATGCTTTCCCATCTGAGTCATTTCCAGTCCTGTCAGCACCTTCATGGACTGCGTGTTTTTACTGTTACTGCAGTTGGATGCTTAGTAGGAAGGGGGCTGGAGAGCTGTAGTCCAGGCCCAGCTGAACTAGATTCATTCCAGAAAGGACTCACAACATTGAAACATGCAGATGAGAAAAGGAAGGAAAAAGAGAGAAGGAAAGAAGGGAGGGAGGAAGGAAGGCACAGAGGACAGGAGAGAGAAGGGGGCAGATGTGTGTATCTAACACTGAAAAACCAAAAGCTAACTTAAATTATGATTTTCTAACTTAATATTGCTTTGATTGTCTCTCAGGAAAATTCTTTCAATATATGTGACTGTATTTATAACACTGCTTACCTGAAGGAGTCTTTTCTTAAAAACAGTATTTCCTCTTCTCTTAAAAATGTGTCTTAGCTAGAGAGGCCAGTGTATAATGAACTGTCAGGCTCATTTATTGCCCAAAAGGATGAGATTTCATCTGTTCAAGAATTCATCCCACATGAGGATTTGTTGATATTAATTTTTTTTTATTTTGTAGGAATCGACCTAAATCCCCATAGGGAAATGTTTAAATAAGTTATATCAATGATGCTATTTTCATACAATGGAATATCATGCAACCATTACAAATAATGCTTATGAAATTTTACATATAGAAAATGTTTACAAACTTCTATCTCGACCCTATAATGTACTAGAAGAGGCTACACCAAATATTAACAGCAGCTTTAGATCGGTGAAATCACGTCATTGTTTTCTTGTCTTCTTTATGTTCTAGATTGTTTTAGATTGTCTACATACACCAATGTTGTTCTAATTTTATGATCAGAAGAAGGCTTACTCAAAAATTTCTCCAACCAGTTTAACAATCATTTCAACAAAATATGAGTTAATATTTTTTAAAAGGGAAAAAGGAATGAAGAGCTGGCTATAGAAAATACACATTAAAACCAAAGGGTAGCAAAGACAAATCTAGCCCTGCATGTCTTGCTGTCCTTCTGCTGTCTCTCCAACTTGAGCCCCATTGTAGCAGATCTTTCTGATAGGAAGCAAAGGAAGCTGTCATTTTCAGCTTTGAATCCTGAGGGATTTTCTGATAATCACTGTCCCAGAAGACTGGAATGGAAAAACATGAAAGTGTTAAAATGACAAAGAAGACTTGCTAAAAAATAAATTTCACATTCTTTCATTACCTTTTCTGCTAGCTTCTTCTCTTTTCATCTTTTGCATTTCATGAATTATTACAATGTCTTGAACTCTTTGAAACTAGGTAGTTAATGAAGACAAAGTAAATACATTTCCTTCCAAGTGAAAAATAACATACAGTTGTCTGAAACAGCAATATAATACTTCTTTTCTCTTACTTAGCAAATTCTGTGTAGTGGCAAACTATTTGCATAAGTTTAAGTAAACATGTACTGCATCTTCCCAGTCTACACTGAAATCATTTATTTAAAAAATGCAAAAGCCTATAACTACTTAGAATATGCATGTTTTCAGAAAATTAAACATGTCTTGACCCTTATGTGAGAAGTGTGATAACCACTAAAAGTGGCACAGAACATTGAGATTTGGGTTTTTTTTTCTGAGATTTGGGTTTTTAAAAATTGCACTGGAAAACTAAAGAAATCAGAGGATCAAAGTATGATCAAATATATCCTACTTCACCAGCTCAGAGAACAAAATTAGATCCCAATCTTTAATATACAAAAAAAATTAAAACTTCATTCCAGTTACTACTAGGAAATTTCCTCTTTTCTTCCCTGCCAGGTCACCCTAGAGTGACTCAAACCTGAGTTACTCCTGCCTTACAAAGAACAAATAAGAAGTCTAACTAGTGTACTAACATTGTGTCTCAAATTTTAGGTACATATGAATCTCCTGAGGGAGTTTTTAAAGTTTGCTGGATCTAACAAAGTCCCAAGTGATGCTAGTGTTGCTGGGCCCCAGATCACACTTTGAGAAATTCTGTGCTAAAAGAGATTCCTTTTTGTCAGTTTACCTCAGCTACAGCCATCTTAGTCTTTCAGCGATTTCCCATCAACTTTAACATCATAGCAAAAGCATTAAGATCTCTTGATCCCTTAGCTCTCAAAAATTCAGTGGTGCCTATCAAATTGACCCATCCCCTTCCCAGTAATCTTTTAAGTACGATGTATGCTGCACAAGAGAAACAGAAAAACTCCACACACCCACCCAATTGGAGCACTCCCCATTGTCAGCCTCACAGAGATATTTATAAAGTTGGGCTGGGAAGCAGCAACCTTCTCATTCTGTTAGGGGGAAAAGGATGTCCCAAAGCAAATTCCATATAGGCTTTGTGGACTCCACCCCCACCCCAGGTCAAAGCCAAAGACACTGGGAACTCCAAATCCCATCACCACCAAAGGGAAGGTGGCTGGGACCTGAGGGTGGGGTTAAGCAGCCAGGTGGATACAAAAGGCAGACACGTGGGCTTTGGGGGCTCTCTCCATTTTTGGGCTCTTGGCCAGCAGCAGCGTCCAGTCAGCTCTGAGAGTGACTTTGGGGTTTCCAGGTCGTCGGATCGGGTAGGACGCATTAAAGACTTTATTTCCCTATTTTCTCCCTGAGTTGTACATTTTCCTTATTTCCTTTTCTCTTGTAAATAAACCTTTTATTAACCCTTTTGCATGTGTCTGTAGTAGAGTATTCATAAGTCCCTTTAAAGCGCGCGGGTGAGGACCCACAGCCAGGAACCCGTTTAATATCGGGGTTGCTCTATAACAATTCCATCAACAAGACCAGAGGCAATCAAAGCAATGAGCTACTAGAAATCAGTTCTGTCTTCTTTCAATTCCCACCTTTAACATCATAATTCAACCGCTTCACAAAATCATTTTCATCAGTGGACTTAAGGAGCTATTACTTCACTTCTCTCAGTAATCTAGTGTAATTATGTTGCCATAGCACACTTTTGCTGCATGATTTATGCATTACATTGAGGAATTTTTATATCCATTTTACATAGGGGAGTTGGTTTTATTCTGAGTTTGTGTGTATCCAGGCTGAGATCAAAAACTTGGAGGTTGGGACTACCACAGATGTTCAAACAATGCATCATCTCAGGGAACACATGCTTTACTTAAATAAAGCCATTCAGCCAAATATTGATAAAATACATTGTTCTTCAGCACTGAAGCACTAAAGAGTATGCATCTAATAAAACAAATATTACCAGGGTATGAGCTAGGCTATGTTCCCCTCTGATCTTTGGGAACTCATGAAATTTTCTATGATCTCACCCCCATGTACCAGGACAGTCTCACAACTCTCTGGGGAATTATTTTGGTCAGTAGCAAAGAAGGTACAGAGGCTTTGTTGCTCCTGTTATCTCTGACTATTAACTCCAGCCCCCTCAGATATCATTCACTTTAAGGATCATCTCACAGTCTAGAGGATACTACCCTTCTATTTGTAAATACTCCAGACATAAGCCACTATGAGTATCAAATACCAACACCTTGATGATTTGATTTTAGCTTACAGCTTGAGCTTGTGTTCTCTGCATACCTTCCTTGCAATGTGGCTTTGAAAAATTACATCGGTTTATAGATGGAGTTCAATTTCTGTGTGATAAACCCAGTCCAGCAGCTAGTCCCCAAGGATGAAAGTACTCTGGCCACACTGGTCTCCATCCTCCAAGAATCAAGGAACAAAAATGTTCTTATTGTCCTTGGGAAGGTAGAAAACAAGAGAGCAAAGTGGTAAAAACAGACAACTTACCTTTGGGAAGAGACCAACTAATCAGATAAGTTGGAGGTAAATAGTGTTTTCAAAATTCTGAATCTGACAATTCTGCTAACAGATGTAATATGAATGTATTGAATTTTAACTACTTACAAAAATAAAATCTCATTGAAATTTTTAATTTAGCTTCTATGAACAAAATGTTTTATATCCTAAATCTCATGAAACCTCACAATAATTCTTTAATTTACACCTAAATTTATTACCCTCATTTGACAGAAGCTAGAACTGAAGCATAGGCTATTGAAGGAACTTGCCCAAAACCAAGTAGCCAGTAAGTGGAGCCAATGTCAGAACTCTTCCCTGGAAAGATATTGGTTCACCTTATGCTCATGAAGTGTCCCATAAAATGACACAAGTTGAAATATGAACATTTCAGAAATTTCTGTATAGTGTCCTATCAAAGCAGCAAAGCTATATTTAAAAATGGTAGTTTGACAGGATATTCAAGTACCTAACAAACCAAGTAGCTAATGAAGGAGTCAAGAAAACTGTGTGCACCACGGGTCCATACAGGAATTATTTTGACGTCTAAGAACAATTTGGCACACTACAAATTATTTTCCTGGTTTGATAGTAATGTTTGTGGAAACTTTTACAAAGTTTTCCTAACAATATCTATCTTTTTCATCATTGTATCTTAACTGTCTAATATAATGCTGCCTGATGGTAAATTTTTAATAAAATTTTGTTGAAGGAAAGAATAATTTTGTTAATACACACCTCCATCTTGATTTAATGAATGTTCAAAAGTGTTAACTATCTGCCAAAAACTCTTTAAAAAATTAGATAACTAAATCCTAGTTAGCTTAAGTGGTTTCAAGAGCCACAGGGGTTGAATTATTTCTTTCCAGGTCATTTAAGTAGTGATGGGGCTGGGATTGGATCAAACTCAAACTCAGCTCCTATCCACAGGGTGAAACTACTAGAAAAACCCCTGAACTTCTCTGCTTAGCTTTCACATCTGTAAAACTGGACAAATAATACTTACATAATTGTGTTTATTTTAACCAATAATTTAAATCAAATATGTTGACAATCAAAATTGAAATTGTTATTTTCAAAAACCAACTGAGAAATGTTTCTCGGTAATTGGAGACAGATTGAAAAAAAATAATAAAAATTAAAATGATTCAGTAAAGGAGGCCAGCTGAAAAGAGGAAATTGTTCTGAACAATATTTTAAAAACTAGATCCAGGCAATATTTCTTACAACTTTTTCAAAACTGTGTGGTGATTTTAAAAACATATTTATGGAAATAATTTCCTGGCTTTAAAATTAATTTCAGTATTACATTGTATTTACTTAAAAGTAACTTTTTCCAATCTCAAAAATATTAAAAGCATATTAAAAGAAAAATCGCAAAAAATTTTGAACATTTTAAAAAATATTTTTAGAATGTATTATCGCAAGAAGATAAACATTGCAATTGACTATAATTGAAAATTCATGGGCCTCCTCGTTGGCGCAGCGGTTGAGCACTGGGTTGCGAAGCTGCCCGCAGCCTCTGCAGCACTGGTTCGAGCCCCGGCTGCTCCCCGGCCACTGGAGGAGGGTCCCGCATGGTGCACAGACCTCTCCTGCCGCCTGCTGCTCCCCTCAGCAGTGTACTTCGGTCCTTCTGCCTGCTCTGCTCCCCGCTCTGGCTCTGGTGAATTCTCTCACTCTCCCGCGCTTCTGACTGTACCCAATGCTTGTATAAATAAATAAATAAATCTTTGAAAAAAAAAAAAAAAAAAGAAAATTCATGTGAAAATATGGATTCACCAAAGATGATATATAATATCATACCATAGTAGTTGTTACTGTTTCAGTACTCCCCCCTTTTCTCTCTCTCTCTCTTCCTCTCTCTCTTTTATCTAACCATTGCTGTTATCTTTCCTTCTACAGTCTGTTTAGAAACCAACTCTCATAGGGTCTTATAGATTGTAGAAATACATAATTTTTCTTTTTTCCAAGAAGTTTTACCAATTTTCCTCCTCTCTCCTCCACTCACCATTATAATCTCTTTCCTCTATCTTGGATCATATTGTGCGATCCATAGTAGAGCATGGCTTGGATTGGATGTGTCGCTGGCTCTCCTGATGAAATGAACTGTAGATTAGTACAAACTTTACTTTTATGTATATCATAGTCTCCACTGCATGGTATTTTCCACATAGTATGCACTCAATAAATTACCTTTAGCTGGTCTCTCTCAAAGCTGATTGCTGAAGAGACATGTAGATTTTCTTTTGTCCAATTTGGTATCTGCTGCTACCCATTCCATGTTCTGCAACATGAAATTATGTGGGAGTAATGGTCTCCGCCTTGATAGCACTCAGGTTAACACATTACAGGTGCCCTAACTATTGGTTGGCAACTCTCTCTACAGCAGATTTAAATTTACCAGAAAGATGATTTTAAATTCTTAGACATCCCACTGGAAGAAATTCTGGTCTTTGCGAACACTAGCCGGGGGACATGGTGCAATGAAATGGGGCTGAGCTTTGAATCCCATCTCTGAAATGTACTATCTCAATCAGTTTAATAATAATAATAATATTAAATTGAATATTTGTAGTCTGACATTGATCCTCAAAACAACTTTATTAAATTAGCCTCTCTATTTCTCAGTTTGAAAATTGAACAAATAACTTCTACCTCACCTGGAACTGTGAAATTTCATCAAGCTAAATCAATATGAATAACATCTTCAATAAAAAAAAAATAAGGAAACAAAATGGTCCAACCACTATGGAAAGCTGCATGGGGATTCCTCAACCTGCTAAAGATGGAGCTTCCATATGATCCAGCAATTCCACTCCTAGGTGTTTACTCAAAGGACACAGAAACATCAATTCCAAAGAACACCTGCACCCCTATGTTTATAGCAGCACTGTTTACAATAGCTAATCTTTGGAAACAGCCCAAATGCCCCAAAATAGATGACTGGATCAAGAAGATGTGGTACATATAGACAATGGAATATTACTGAACAATCAAAAAAGATAAACTCATGCAATTTGCAGCAACATGGATGGAGCTGAAAGGGATCATGCTCAGTGAAATAGGCCAGAAAGAAAAAAAAAAAAATACCAGATGGTCTCACTCATAGCAGGAATTTAGAAAACCTAAATAAGGGACCAGGAAAAAGACTAATTATAATAAAGCAAAAATCAAAGTCAACAAGCAACTATAAACCAGAGACACATTACAGAGGGGGAAGAGGGAGTACGATCGAAACAAGGAGAGGTGGGAATTGTATGGGGATTATAACCAAGATGAAAATGTATACATTGTGCAAAAACGAAAAATGATGTAAAAACTATATAAAATTAAAAAAATAATAATTTAAATAATTAATTAAAGGAAACATTTTATGCAATGGCCTAAATTCCATCCCTTGTTTTCCAACTGATTATTGGCTTCTCAGTGACCCAGGTTTTCCATAGATATTAGTTACTTAGAACTAACATTGGTCTATAAAGTGTTAGTATTTTGGAAATATGTGACCCCCCTTCAGGTATTGTAACTGTAGCACACCCACCATTAAAGCACCCCAGGGCACCACCGTAGTCCACTGTGGTTCCTCTTTACTTTGTTCTCATCCCTTCCCCTCCCCTCCACTTATCCTTTTACAAAAGGAAACAATTGTGCAAATTTACATATGGATCAACTTGATGCAGTTTAACTGTGAATTAACTGTTGATGAAAATCAAAGTCCAGAAAGGAAAATTATCTTTAGTTTCATAAGGAGAGGTAATCTTTTTTTTTTTAAAGCTGCATAAATCTTTAAATCCACCCTGCTTTCTAATTTTTAAATTGCATATATAATAACTATGTGATTATTTTGCTTTTTTTTTTATTGTACCACTTTATTTTTTCTTCTATTTTTTTTGTTTTATTTTATATATTGTTTCCATCATTTTTCATTTTTGCACCGGAGAGGAAATCTTACTCCTGCTTCCCACTGAGGGAAATAATAAACAATGTTATTTCAAATGACCTATACTAACACTGCTAAATCTCTTGCTCTTTTTTCACAACAATCATCATCCAGTGACATTCTTAATGTTTATAAGCTGGTGGATCACCAGCTTCTTTTATTTCACTTTATTCTTCACATGTGGATCTAGGGCCAATGAATATGTACTGTTAAAGGAAGCACTACCTTTTTTTTTTTGGAATCATTGCCTTTTGATCTTTTTCCTACTATTAAACTAAGACATCACTGGAATCATTTCTATGAGTTTACATAAACATTTTTTTTTTGGTCTCTCAAGTAATAGCCTGAGAGACTTGTGTTCTAGTGTCTGCAATTTCCTTTCTGCCTGTCTGATATATGGAGAACCACAGAACCCTGAAATCAAGTTTCCTATTTACAAACATTAGTTCTGTTACTAATTCCAAAGGGCTTTTATCAGGTTTGGACCAGTTAATTCCCCACAAATTTTGAAAAGCCAATAATAGGTTTCAAGCAAAGAACATTTTATTGGATCACACAATAGGAGAGAAGCAAGACCTGCCATGAGCCACACTCAGTGACCTGAGAGCAGTGGGGGGTACTTTTATTCTATTGATTACCAGGGCAGGGCAATGGGGAGCAACACCATAGCATGTTCTAGGCTGGGGTACCATGGAGCATGCACAGATGGGCGACATGTGGAGTGGCCTGTGTGAGTAACAGTTAAGTCTCAACCCAGGAGTGTGTTTCTTAGCAGGTTAATGAGACCTAGGCCATACCTAGTTCGGTCTTCTGCCATCTATGTCTGTACGGCCACCAGGCTTCAGCTAGTTCTGGAGGTCTTGCCCAAAAGCAGAAAGCCTCTACAGGGTTGAGTGTCTGATTCTCACTGGTAATTGATTGGCTGGGAGTTTTAGCCTTGGGGTTCAATAACAAACATTTAGACAACATAGGTCTAGATGCAAGGTGTCCTGTAACAGTTCCACAAACATTATCAAGCCCCTGCTAGGTAACACACACTGTTGGCAGGTGTGTAAGGAGGATAATAGTGTTACCTGCATCATACCCCACATTTTTGCAAATAAAGTGCCCTGTATTGTTAGGAAACAATACAGGAAAGGCAAAGTATATAGTTTCTAAATCAAGCACCCAAAGTTACCCATCCCCTTGTGGGTAAAGGTCCACCCAAGCAGGATTGGCCCAGAGCAAGGCCCCAAAGCCTGCCGCAAGTCTAAAGCATCTTCCAGTGGGGACCCACAGAAAAGGACCAGAAACAACCAGACAAGTCTAGAAGGAAAAGAGCAAAATCAAAATCAAGACAAAAACCGCCATTGTCACCTCCCCACGAGTCTCACCCACATCTGTGTCACCCAGTCCATGACCAAACGGCAAGCGCAGTTTCTTCACACGTCTCTCAGCTCATGTGCCTCCTCCATGTCTCCTTCTGGTTCTCCAGCCTGCTTCCTTCCTTCCTCAGTCTTCTCTGCAGCTTCTTCTTCACCCAGCTCAGCTCCACCCTCCTTTTGGGTGGGGCAGGAAACCTGGAACCTCCTCCTTTCCAGGGGACAACCCTATTACAAAAGAATTCTTGCTGTGAAATAAAGCTCATACAAATACTAGCCATGGAGATGGTGGTGATGAGGACAGTGATGGTAGTGAAAATGAGGAGGAAAATGCTGTCGGGAAGCAAAAGAAATCATCCTGTTCCCCTCTGGGTTCTTCTTGGGCTGGACAAATCATCAAAACTGCATCAAATGGTTTAGCAATGAAAAACAAGCAATTTAATATCATATTATGGAGCCTTTACATGGCTGTAAATTCTGACGAATATTGGAATGGACCAGGAATATTTATCCTGTGTTTTGGGACCTGGGACATCAAGGACAGGGAGGGAGAGACTTCACCTGACAGACAAAAAAGGGGGTGATCTCACCATTACTTTCAGAGTAATGACAGAGAGAATACGTTTACTGATAAACATAGAACTGGGTAAGACCCCCAAACTACATTCTTCTATGTCATAAAAAAAAGAGAGTAGTGATTGCTTCTTGGATTAGGAAAAGTTCAGAAGTATAGGCTGTGATGGTTTCTTCTTAGATTAGGGAAGGTGAAGGATTTCAGCAAGAACAGAACCTCCTCCGAGCCTTCCGGGCACTCTCAATTCTCAATACAAAATAATCTGCATTCTTTTTTTTTTTTTTTTCCCCAAAGGTGCATTCTTGGACATGCAAAGTTGTAAACGTATTTTTTTTTTTTTAAAGATTTATTTATTTATTTATACAAGCACTGGGTACAGTCAGAAGTGCAGGAGGGTGAGAGAATTCACCAGAGCCAGAGTGGGGAACAGAACAGGCAGAAGGACCGAAGTACACTGCTGAGGGGAGCAGCGGGTGGCAGAAGAGGTCCGCGCACCATGTGGGACCCTCCTCCGGTGACCAGGGAGCAGCCGGGGATTGAACCAGCGCTGCAGAGGCTGCGGGCAGCTTCACAACCCAGCGCTCAACGGCTGCACCACCGGGGAAGTCCATAATCTGCATTCTTAAAGAAATGGTAATAGATCTTCCAAAGCTCACAAACCCTTGATTGATAGCTAGTTCCCTCCCAAGCTAACTTAAGGCCTATTCTATGTCTATTGAGAAAAACACACCAGACCATTTTGGGGAGTTTGACCAGACAATGCTGTGAAGAGTTACTATCCTGTATTTAGGAAAGTATTCATGCAGTGCTTCTGGACTTGCTGAGGAATTCAAAGCGGCAAACAAAACCATCAAGGACTAGAAAATGGATAGGAAATGGGAGAAGATTATGTCTTTTTAAAGGATGGAGGAGAAATTTCACCTTGTAGCAAACAAATTAGTATCAGACCAATTAGGAGAAGAAAAAGAATAAATTTACTAATATGCATATGGAGAATCTACATAGCTGTAAATTCTAGAGTAAATGGACAAAATATGTTTTTTTTTCATTCTGGTTAAGGAATGGGATAGGGCACTGGGACTGAAAGCAGAGTAGAGGATGACTTGTACGACAAAAAGTCAGATGCTCTGTAAGATAATTTGCCCTATTGTTATAGGGCAGCCCCGATACAAAATGGGGTGCCTGACTGTGGGTCCTTACCCGCGTGCTTAAAAGGACTTATCGATGCTCTACTGCAGGCACACACAAAAGGTTAATAAAAGGTTTATTTACAAGGGAAGGGGAAATGAGGAAATGTACAGCTCAGGGAGAAAAATGGGAGACAGTTTTAAATGCGTCCTACCCAATCCGCCGATCAGGAATCCCAAATGGCTGGAATCCCAAATGGCCTCTGAGAGCTGGCCGCCAGCCAGGAGCCGTGAAGCCAGGAGGTGAGCTACAGAGCGAGAGAGCCCCAAGGCCCATGTGTTTGGTTTTTTATACCCAGCCTGGCTGCTTAACTCCACCCTCAGGTCCCAGCCACCTTCCCTTTGGTGGTGACGGGATATGTCTTTCCCAATGTCCTGATGGCTTTGGTCTGGAGTGGGGGTGGAGTCCACAAAGCCTGTATGGGATTAGCTCAGGACATCCTTTCCCCCTAACAGTATCAGTTAAGTAAATTAAAGTTTACTTCCTGGACATACCCCAATTCTAGATCATAGCCCCAAGCTTCAGACTTCTAGATAATTAAGTTAATGGTAATGATGGAGTTTTGCAGAGTTTCGGGTCCTTGGGTTCACTCTAGGAAAGGTTTCACCAGAGCTCCAGGTTCGGTGACTCACAATGAGTTCCCCAGGTGACTTTCTCCATGAGACAGAGACGTTAGTTATATTTAAAGGGCAGGTTTATTAGGGAAAGGGACAGGGACAGGTTTTGCTAAGAGATGCCTGCATGGTTCAGGCAGTCGATCTTGAGGAGAGCTGCCTCAGCTGAGGGAGGTCAGTGAAGAGAAGTCCCAGCAGCAGGTCACCGGCAGGCAAGAGGCTGCTGCCCTGCAGAGGGAGAGAGTTGGTAAAGAGACACCTGCATAGTCACAGGTGGGCAGACAAAGTGCTGCCCGGAGCCTGTGCAGAGACTGCATTGATAAAGTCCTTTTCTGTTTGGGAGGGGTCAATCCTCCAAGGAGAGGCCTGTTTGTTGCTGATTTGGGATAACTAGGCAAAACCAGGAAGGAACCAGAGATTCTAGGGTGGGCCCAATCTCCATATCTTTACCCTCAGGTCTGTGCTCCACTCCCTGTAGCATCTGATCCCGCTTGGGTCTAAGGCCTTGTGATAAGGCACTAGTGCCTGAGGGTCACAACCTCTACAGCTGGGTTAATGTCCATGTTATTACCCTCAACCCCCACCTCCTTGTGAGCCAGGTTCTGGTCTTGAGGCACCTCCTTTCCAGTCTTTCTATTCTTGTCCTCCATCAATAACAGTTTCTCTTCAAGTCTATGGGGCCTCTATTGATGTTAGTTTCCAATAATAATCTACATACCTACATGATATATCTTGGAAAAGCTTGTCTGAACACCTTGAGGAAGCCTAGCTGACTCTTGGGCAGGACTATGCTTCACCCTCACCTAATAGAAGGTTGCTCCATGGTGCCCACAGTATATCTATACACATTAAATTTGAGTTGTCCGGAATGAGATTCCCGAGATCTCTCTGACATGTGACAACAAGCTTCTTAAAATATTTTACAGAGTAGATTCCTGGCAGAAATCCAGATATATATGAAGGCCTAATGAATTCAGATATATATGAAGGTCTAACGAATTGTAATTTTCTAAACTACCCAAAGAAATTTACAGGCTGAAAGTTTATAAGAGTATCTCACTAGAAAAGGCAGTTCTAGAACCAATTACTTACCCTTCTACATATTGAGGATTATTTTTAGTACACTGCATAGTCTTCACCATAAAAGATAAAAATGAAAAAATACCCACTACTGATTTGCCCCTTGACTTAAGTGAGACTTAAATCTAGGAATTGAAATTATGATTTCTCATTTTTTAGAACATGTGATATTAGTGCTCTGAATGAGGGGCACCCTCTTGTAAAGATACTTATGATAGATAACATTGAGGACCTCCAGGATAATCTTCCCATCTCAAGATCCTTAATTTAATCACAATTCTGGTAAAATCCAAGGGATATAAAGGAACCCCAAACTGCTAAGGAGAAAAATCCATGTTGCCCATTCTAAGGGTTCATGCCCACCCATATGCATAAAAGCAAAGTAAATCAAACTTAATATGCACAAAGATTTTTAATCAGTGAGAGGTTCAAAGCGGAGTGGGGGGTGGGGGGAGAAGACAGAGAGAGAGATTAGGGAAGAGAAGAATTTCAAAATAAGGATTCCCAATGGAACTCTTAAATAAACCGTCACCAAATAGTCAGGGTCCACGGCGGAAGAGTCAAGGCCCAAGATTAGAGCCACCAAGAAAATGAATGCAAGGCACCTCCAGACAGGAAATACAAGCAAGAAGTTGAGCAGGGCCTAAAGGGCTGAGAAAGAAGGAAAGAATGGCAGTTAAAAATGTACTCCCAAGCTGATCTGCCATGAGTTCAAGGTAGCAAGTGCCATAGTTTTTCACTACCAATAGAAGCATCTACTCCTGTGGCTTTGTTACAGGGCAGGGAGTGGGGCAGCCCAAAACCCGCAAACCTGCCTATTCTAAATGGGTTCTGCCATCCGCCGCATCAACACAAAACATATGAGACTTTAATGGGAAGGAACTTTAATACAACTAGGAAACAATACAGGAAAGGCAAAGAATCTAGTTTCCAAATGAAGCACCCAAAGTTACCCGTCCCCTCGTGGGTAAAACTCCATCCAAATGGGATCGGCCCAGAGCAAGGCCCCAAAGCCTGCCCCAAGTCTAAAGCATCTTCCAGTGGGGACCCACAGAAAAGGGTCAGAAACAACCAGACAAAACCTGGAAGGAAAGGAGCAAAATCAAAATCAATATAAAAACTGCCATTGTCACCTCCCCACGGGTCTCTCACTCACATCTGTGTCACCCAGTCCACAACCAAAAGCCAAGCGCAGTTTCTTCACACGTCTCTAGGCTCCATGCGCCTCCTCCAGGTCCCCTCCTGGCTCCATCCTGCTTCCTTCCTTCTTCAGTCTCCTCTGCAGCCTCATCTCTCCCTGCTCAGCTCCACCCTCCATTTGGGTGGGGCAGGGAACCTGGAACCTCCCCCTTTCCTGGGGACCACCCTGTTACAGCGTCAGTCCTTTTTTCCCCCTTCAACATTATCACCCAGCTCCTTCCTCCTTCCCAGAAGCCCCTTGTTCAGGAATTCTGGTTCACAGCCCAGCAGGAGTTGTAATGCTAGGCACTTGGGATGTTGGTGATATAGAGATGGGAATGAGGAAGATGGTGCTGATTCCTGTGACCTCAGCAACTGCTCCTCCCCACTCCACATTTTCACATTTGAGAAGCTGCTTTGTCATATAAATTAATCCTAGGATTAGGATGGAGACATTTGGGGGAGATATTATTTTGTCTACCACACAGGTAAATCACTCATTAATTGGGAGCTTATATTGCCCTCACCCAGATTTTCTACTATATAGAAATAATAAAACAACTTTAATTTCATGTCTTGATTTGTTTGTCACAGTGAGTTCTAGGAACATTATCTCATAGATAATTATCTCCTCTATGGGCCAAGGACTTAACTCCAACTAGAGCAGCTGAGATTCAAGATCATGAAAGAAGAAAGAATAGAATAAAAGAGAAAGTCATAACTAAAAAAGTCCCTCGATCCATCCTTTAGGTTAACTGAGGACAAGATGATTTCATATCATAGAGATCTTTTGCATGCTCTCCATCTCCATCTTTTTAATTAAAGGCACACTCAAAGCTATTGATCTCAAACAAAGAGCAACCAACCAGTTATTTCATCAACAAAATGGGTATATTCAGAAAAAAAAAATAGGCATTTTGGAATGTGCAGTCTCATGGAGCGACATAAGTGTTCATTTGTTACCAGAACAAATGCCAGCACTCCCTTCTATAGTGACTCCTTTACAAATGATAAGGAGAATGTTACTGGGCAAAGAAATACATGCTTCCTTCATCTGCTGGGATTGGGAAGCAACATCTTTTCCCATTGGAGATGAAAAGCATATTGGCTGTTTCCAAACAAGGCATGTTGGCTGATTGCACATGTGAGGGAACTCCCTTCTAGCCTCACAAAAGCCAATAGGAGTCAGCCTTTGTTGAAAATCTTCCGTGGGGTAAACAAGAGATATTCCAGAGAGCTGTGTTTAGTTCTTTATCCAAGTGGTTTTTCCTGAAACAATTTTCTTTCAGTTGATAAATGATATGAAAAATCAAAGCAGAAATCTGATTCAGAGCAATCACCATAAAAAAGAAGCTCAATAGCTAATTCCTGGATCATGAGAGGGATCCTAAAATATCTAAACCAAGTTTTTACAATCTGACTAGTCTGTAGAATGCCCCTACAGCATATTTAACAACATTATTTTCAGTGAAAAATAGAAATATTTAAACTTGCTAGGAAAATACAACTCCATTACAAGAGATATCTCCATTTAATATTTATTTTTTAAAGATTTATTTATTTGTGCATACAAGAGCTGGGGTACAGGCCAGAGATATGGGAGGTGAGAGGATTCACAGAGATAGAGTGGGGAACAGAACAGGCAGACTGACTGAAATACTCTGCGGAGGGGAGCAGGGGAGACAGGAGAGGTCTGCTTCGCCTTGTGGGTTGCTCTATGGCCGGCTGGGGATCGAACTTGTGCTGTAGAGGCTGCAGATTGCTTCATAGTGAGGTGCTTAACCGCTTGCGCTACCAGGGAGTCCCCTCCATTTAATCTTTAAAGTGAAGATCACAAGTTGGGGAGAGTTTCCTCTTTCCAACATTTAGGATTGTATACTTTAAGGAAGGGGAAGCTGATAGGGGGTATTTGATCTTATCAATTGCTATGGATTTCAGAACCTTGGGTTTACCCCTAAATACTAATATGCAAAGAGACAGCAAAGAAAGGGAAATACAAGTTAGGATAGTCACTCCTAGACTTCCATGAAAAGGCAGCAGTCTACACAGTTTTGTAACATGAGGATTTTCACATTTGCACTTTTAAGGAGGTATGTATGTGTGTTTAATTATTTAGAAGTGATTCTCAATCACTGGTACTAAATGTAAATTTAAGGAGTTCAGGTGGCAAATACCTGGTGACAACTTTATAAACTATATGACATAAGGCGGTTATCTCTCAGAAACAAGACATACTTTAATTTTTATAAAATTGTTCTGAAGACTTTCATTTTCAAGAGGATTTATGTTATATGCTCAAGTAATAGAGAGCCGCTCATCTAAAAGTTAGCATAAAGCTCCATTTTCACTGTTTTCATTACTGAGCAAATGG